GTCCTTGGTTTTTCATCTGCAGCAACAGCAGTATCTTCCTTCTGCTCATTTGTCATTCTCTTTGGCGTCATCCATCGTAGTTCTGGCCAAAAAGGTCAACGTTACGATCAGCTTCACGTTGTCTGGCAATCAGGGTGCTCAGCATCAGCGCTTGATAGAATCTGTTCGACATCATAAACCTTAACCCCCCTGTGCCAGAGCTGAGCAGGAGCAGGTTCGGGCTCAGCCCGCGCTGGAGCCGTGTCTGCTATTGGTTTCCGGGCTTCGCTTCGCTGTTTTGCCTTTGGGGCCTGGGGTCTCGGAGGAGGTGTTGTGGCTTTGGAGTGTTGCATCTTCTGACCTCAAGCCCTTGATGTTTACTGGTTGGGGTGTCGCCCCAAAGCCCTGAACTCCCAGACGTTTAAATTAGGTGAATGGAAAAGAGCCCTCAGCAAAACGAAAGTCCTGAACCCTCAACCGCAAAGGAATCCGTGTCTCCCTTGGCCGAGTAAGCCGGATATGAAGTGCCCTTGCCCCAAGTCATGAACGAGCTGGGCCCCAAACTCGACTAGAAGCCTCTTCGAGGAGTGCCTGCCGGAGCCTTACCGACTGGGTCTGTCAGCTTCGTATCGTCAGTGTTGAGGGTTATGTGGGTTTAGGGTTTCTCAAGATTACAGGGCCCGTGGGCTAGACCTGTTTGCGGAATCCACATGCCATGCTTTGACCCTTGGCATGCCAGCCACCTTAGGATGCAGTGCGTGGAAGTGCTGTCATATCGGTGCTGGTGCTGTCACGGCATTGGGAGCCAATCTCGGTTTGGTTTAGAGTCTAGTGGCTGCGATCTTGGCGACTGTCGCGGCTGCTGGAAGATTTTCTTTGGAGGGATGCCCACAGGCTGGGTTGAGAATTCGTCTAACTAAATATATTGTACTATAGTACTATGCCACTATATATCAGAATATTTTGTAATAATCTATAACAGACTATAGACAAGAGAGAGGGACCTCAGTCACAGGCGAAGGGTTGCTGCCCGGGCCTAGGCTGGTTTCACTGTGTATTCCAGCTGGGTTGTCGGCAACAAACAAGCACAAGAGCACAAATTATGTGGATCAAGCCTCCCGCAGATCAATGTGTCCACTTCGTGGCTAAAGGTGGGCCTCAGGTTTTTGACATTGTGCCTTGCTCCATGCCGGCTTTAGCGAAACTTCATGGCATGAAAAGCATGAGCCGCAGCCAAAACTCAAAAGCAGAGTCTCATCATCGCTTCCACTAGCGACACCCGAAAGCAGTGCGAGTTTGCTTAGGGCTCAGGGCTTATCGTACGGAGCAGCTGAGCACAGTCATAACCCTCTGTGAGAGCGATGGCGCTTCTCCCCGAGGCTGAAAGCTCTGGAGTGGTCTGGGATTCCAGCGGGCGTTAGTAAAGCCGCAAGAACGTGAGCGAATTCATGTATTTGCTTGAGCTTTAAGTACTGATCGTACCACCTGGAAGTACTTGCTTAAGTCAGGCGTCTCGGGCTTAGTAATGGCCAGCAGGGTGCTTGCCAGGCGTTTGTGGGCGCGGCCCAGCCAACGCTGCCTGTGGCGAGGCCGGCAGATCTATCGTCGCCGAAATTGTTGTTTGCGCTCCCCAACTCAAAGTCCGGAAAAGTCTGAGACGTTTCCACAGAGTCAGCGTTGTAGCCGCAATTCCCAACTCTCACGCTTGCATCGAAATATGTAGGCTCACAATGGGAGCCCTTAGCATCACACACAGTTGGAGTGAGGTTTTGCACGACAAGCAGCCGTCGGATGGATGAGCTTTTCAGTATCACAGTCACAACGCCATAGCAGCTGGCAATGACCTGTCAGGTGGAGGCGACGAGGGGCATTGTTTTGGAAGCAGACAATTTGGCTTCATGAATCAGGGTGACGATGTCGACGGATCTGCTGATGGTGGTGACGGTGCAGCTGCTTGCTGGGTGGTTTTGCTGGTGCTGCGGCAGCGACAACGACCACTACCGCTAATTGCAGCATTCACAAAGACCTGACTTTGGATGTTATAGCATTACGCTGGACTCCGGTAATAGTGTTCATAATTTGAGAAAGACTAAGCAGACTAGCAATAAAAATGCAAGAACATCAATGGCATAGACAGTGGCACCGAGCAAGAGCCATAATAACAATCATAGCAGTAGTAAAAACAAGCAGCAGCCAATCAACAATCTCACTGCCACCATCACCAACGCCAACATTCACGATATTACCAAAAAGGTGACAGCAGCAATCACAACAAATGCCAAGACAACGACAGCGACCTGTACAGTGCATGCCATGACCATGACCAAAGCGGCCATGACAAACATCAGTAAGACGACCACCACCACCACCACCACCACCAGCACCACCACCACCCCCATAACTGCCATAACCGCCATAACCGCCATAACCGCCATAACCGCCATAACCGCCATAACCACCATAACCACCATAACCACCGTAACCACCACCACCGCCGCCGCCGCCACCGCCACCACTGCCATCGCCACCACCATCACCACCACCATCACCACCACCATCATCAGCATTACGTCACAACGACTACAGCAGACACGACGACCACCTCGGCCACCGCGGCCATCACCGCCACCACCACAAAAGCCCGTGGCTGACACGACTGTGGTAATCAGGCTCGCCTCAAAGCCTGGGCGGGCACATCGTGAAGTTCCGCAGCAAGGCTGTCCTCACTTTGCGGTCCATGCCGGTCCCTGATGGTAGTGAGAGTAGTACAGGTGCCGGACATAAAAGGGCATCCATGGTCCACGTCACGTTTGTTGTTGATCATGGTTGTCAATGCTGCGAAGAAATCCACATATTGGGGCACCGTCCAAGACATGAGGAGTCGTGTCTGCTGTCACTCTGTAGACTGTAGATCTCTCTGATTTGGTGCATCTCCGGAAACGGTCTCGGATCTCAGATCTTTCTGTAAACCCAAGCAGGCAGGGTGGTCGTGAGTCCTGGGTCAAGGTGTGCCGTCGTCGCTTGCCGCAACCGCTGCAGCGGTTTTGGCTGCGGGCATTGCAGTGAAGAGGCCGTGCCGTGAGGGTTGGTATGAGTCGGGGACTGGCAGTTATTGCGCTGTGCATGGCGAAATGTCGACCGCGATGTACCTGTTTTTTTCGCAATGCATTGCGCAAGACAGAGTCGGCTCAATTCAGGCTCCCATGAAAAGATTTTATGTATCACCTCATCTTGACCTGCTGCTGAATTTATATAAGTTGAAGAACGGCCCACCGGCGGCGGGATGGGTGCTGTTCACAGTGCCGAGCGGTAATGAAGCAGCCCCCAGAATCGTTCTGGTGGTGATGAGCCCTGCATAGAGAGTGCTATTCTGACGATCCGGTAGCGACTAAGAAACAGACCCAAACCCCGAGCCGTGAGACCCCCCTGAACCCTAAACCCTACACCTTAAACCCTAAACCCTAGGATTTCAAGGGCACCGGAAGCTGACTTTGAGCTACTACGCTTCTGCGTCCCTGACCTTTGGTGCCTCCTGTACTGAGCTGACGTAGCTTTGCGCTGTAGTACCGTTGAGTCTACTGCACTTCAGAACCGTTGAAACAACGATTTCTCTCGCACAACTTCTGCGATAATTGGGGTGTGCATGCTCTGGCCTTTAGTAGCCGAAAGCTGATTCTCGTGCTGAGCTCACATCCTGTAGTCAACAATCTGTGCTGCTGACTTACCCTGCAATGCGGGCTCGTCCTTGCTATGTAGGAGGGCAAAATCCCCAAACCCTGCACCCCAAACCCTAAACCATATACCCTAAACCCCAAACCCTAAAACCTTAAAGCCTCAGGCGCACGGCGGACACCCGGGCGAGTGCGGTGACAATGAGGGCCAGGGGCTCATTAGTACGTTGCAGGATGTTCCATTTTCTTATTTAGGGTTTAGGGTTTAGCAGGGTTTAGGCTTTATGGTGTTATTTCATAATATCATGTTACATTAAGTAACCCACTACAATGACACTCCTAGCTCTAAGCCCTCGACGTGGCAGGTTTTGGGCAACCAAACGAAGACTCGGAACTCTTTTTTTGGGGGATCAGCTGGAGAGAATCAGCTGGCCCTCCGGCCAGCCATTCACATCAGTGCAAAAGGTCATGGTATGGTTTCAGCCATACTGTAGTGAATCATAGAAACCTAGAAGGTGGCAGTTAAATCAAGGGTCCTCCTCACTCTTCTAGAGTGATGGCGGTCAGACTTGCAATAACTGCAGTGCGACTTTGGTGAGCTGGGGCCAACAACACCTACACCTGAAACCCAACATGCTAAACCCTTGAACGAGGAACCACTAACCCGACACCTGGCCCAGCTTTAGCCGGACGATGAAGGAGAAGCTGAAGAATCGTGACAATGTACCACACATACACTTAATGCAAAATAGCCGATTTGTGCACAGCGTTTTATACCGCATCCCGTATACCCAATAACATCTACTATGTCATATACTGTTGAAAATCTGACGCAGCCGCGCTTGGATCAGGGGAAGAAGAAAGCGCAGGCTGCGGCTTCACTGGCCTTTCGGGGGTTCGGGAGGAGAAATTCTGAGGGGCTTCGGGAAATCGCTCAGATCATGAGGTTTGCTGTTACAGGGCACTATTAGGGAGGTAGTATTCAAGGGCTCTTGTTTCTCGGAGTACTACTATCATAGAGTGCGGCTTTGGGGTACTCTGGGGTCGAGGCTTTTGTTCCTCTGATGGTTTTCGCCTCTCTGTGATTCTGCAGCTATGTAGCACCTTGCAGATAGCTCCTCTTTCACAGCTCTGATCTGTTTTAATATATATATATATATATTAAAGCAGCTTGGGAGGCGAAAGAAGGCGATGGCGACATCGTGAAGAAACCTGGCTGCATGCATGTGTGGTCTCGCATGGCAGCATTGAGGGAATCAGAGATGACAAAAAACCCTGAGCACTGTCCGAGTTGCGAGAGTCCAAGCTCCAAATTCCCGCCCGCCCGCGCGCCCGCTGCATGAGCCGAAGGCCTACCTTTGACTTCGCCTACTGGGCGGAGCACGTCGAGGAGGCTCAAGTTTTAGGATTGGAGCGGAGCAAGTCAAGCACAAAGGAAATTGAAATGCACCCTCGGCACTGAAATGCTTGATATGGCTAAGAGAGTCTTCAGAATCAAGAACCGTGTAAACCATGTTACCCTAAACCCTAGGCCCTATACCCCTGTAGATTCTCGAGGTTTTGAGACTTTGCCCTTCTCGGCCTGCAGGTCCAGAAGAATGCCGAGAACAGGGCGTTCAAGTGCGACGTGGCCAGGGGCTCAGGGGCCCCGTTAAGGGGTTCTATAAGGGTCACCACAAGAGTGATTACAACGGGCTGATTGCGAGGGTGACCATAAGGGCTTATGATGGTTCTAGGGATTTTTCCGCCAGTCGGAAGTCGGAGATCGAAGGATCCCGGCCAGTTTCCCATGTGCTCCGGCTCCACACTCTTTGCAGTGTCTGAGCGCGCAGGCCAGGATCGTGGACGTGTACCAGGCCGGCTCAAGCTGTGTCATGCACGTAGTTCAGCTGACCATGGATGCGCAACGGAAGCAATCTCAGCTCACAAGGTCCGTCATGCAGTCGGCATGCTGGCACACCCCGCGAGATTTGTAGGTCAAGGCTCCTTGCTGCATCTTTGCCATCTCCGCCTTGAAAGCACCTCGTCGCCAACATGGCGCGCACCAAGGTGACGGCACAGAAGTCCGCTGGTGGAAAGGCAGCATGTGGTGATCTCGTGGCAAAGGCGGCTCGCAAGGCTGCCCCGGCGGTCGGCACCATGAAGAAGACCACCCGCTATCGCCCGGGCGTCCTGGCCCTTCGCGAGATCCGCAAGTACCAGAAGTCGACTGAGCTCCTGATCCGCAAGCTTCCCTTTCAGCGCCTCGTGAAGGAGATCGCACAGGAGGTGAAGTCTGACCTCAAGTTCCAGACGCAGGCGATCCTTGCATTGCAGGAGGCCGCTGAGGCTTACCTCGTCGGACTCTTTGAGGACACCAACCTCTGTGCCATCCACGCGAAGCGCGTCACGATCATGCCCAAGGACATCCAGCTCGCCCGACGCCTGAGAGGTGAGCGAACCTGAGCCCAGCAGGGCCAGAAGGAGGGAGCTGGGCGAAGCGGCTGCATCCCGTATCTTTCTAAGGCTGAGGCTTCTTATTGTTTTCGTTCTGCAGGGGGCGGTACCTGTATTCGACAACGGGAGAACTCTTAGTTGGCGCAGTCCCTTGCCAAAATCGGGAGCAGCTGCGGTCGCCGGTATGAGCCAGTTGGCGTGCCAAACAGGCTCGTTGAGCGTGGCATGTACCTGCCCACGTCGATGCCAGCGGTGCGCAGCGCCCAGACAATGTGAAAGAATGGGACTGTCGGAAATCTTCATTGCGAGGCTTTCGCGCCTAGGGGCTAGCGATCTTTCTGGAAATCGCACCGCTGTGCTTTTGGGCCATGGTGAGGGCTTGCTTACAAATCCTCAAGCTAGTACTGTGTGAGCCTTGAGACCTTAGGCGTAAAATGGCAGCCTTTTTAAAGCCCCAGCTGCAAAGAATAAAGACCCAGAGTTTCTCGTCGCGAGGATTTGGGAAAGGCCTGACTGAGGACGCTTTGAAGCCAGTTCCTACGTGTCTTGCAAAGGCAGCTTCCTCTGCGCACATCGCGCTAGAGGTCTATTCGTCTAAATAGGTGGTTTAGTGGCAGTTACGACGGACAGACTAGGAAGTAGACATACGGTTCCAGAACATTTGTGCTGCCTCCTCTATGACGCAGATTGGGGGGATCTCCTGCACAAGAGGACTTTGCCACAAGCCTTTCCGCACGGGCAAAACAGAGTTGCTGCATGCTGCTCTGCTGTGCACAGCAGGCTTCGGAGACCTTGCGCGCCTCTGTGTCCAGCAGCTCACTACAACTCCTGGGTTCCTTTCGACCTTCTAGGACTCTAGAACAGGAGATCAGGATACTGTGAGGTTGCCCTAACTACGTATCCATACAGAGCCCACACAGGCACCCAGAACTTGCAAAACCAAACATCAGCAGAACGATACCACAGGGGATCGGCGGTAAGCCTGATGTCATCACGCCCTTATGTATTCACAGCATGGGCAGTGATGAATACCAGGGTAACAATACCAAGATTGCAATAGCCGCAACCACAGTAATCTCAATACACATTTGATATTCATAGATCAATCATAACAAGATAAAATGCTCGTGCCAACTTAGGAGCCCAAGAGGTAAACGTTGAACTTTTGTTGGTATATTAAACCCATACTAAAAGAAGAGTTTAAACTTCTTTGGGCCAGGGTACTGGGCAGCTAAGCTAATATTAGTAATTAGGGTTATAAATAAGGTAACTATAGTTATATTTAGTTTTAACTCCAATTAAGGTACTTATAACCTTACTTACTTAGTGCTGCCTCTTTCGAGCCGCTGCCCGGGGCCAGGAGCAGCGGACATCGGCCTTTGAGCTGCAGCAACTTCTGCAGCACCCGGGGGGTTTGGGGTTTAGGGGTTAGGGTTTAGGGCTTAGGGGGGTTTGGGTGGACTTTTGGGGTTTGGGCTTGACGGGTTCGTTTTACTTGCTGGTTTTTTGAATGGGAGGGGGGGGGGGTGTTGGGGAGTTTAGGGCTTTGAGGGCTTAGGAGGGCTTCGGTGCGCTTTAGGGTTTTGGGCTTTTTTCAGCGTCGATGACATCCAAGTTTACCCAGGGCCGGAGCTTCCCTTGGCAACGCCATCTACGGGAAGTGCTCCGGGAAGGAAACTGCCTATGTACGATGCATGCATGACGTACTGACACGTATTACACAGCCTTTGATCCTAAACCCCAACCAAACCCGCGCCATGCGAGACGGAAAAGGGACGTTCAAGCAAACACCGAAAGTGCCGCGCCTCAGCCTACTCCGAGCTTGCGGCAGAAGCTTAGACACGAAGCCTTGAACCATAATGTAGCTTTGACATGTCTCATCATCTCCCTCTCTCCCTAAACCCAAAGATGTCCTTCAACAGCCCTAAACCTACCACAAAATAGCTCTGAACAGGTTCTAGACTGGGTCGCAGCGTCGCGTTTGAGCTAGGCAGCTGGCAAAGAAGCGGAATGAGAATGCGAAGCCTGGGCCCCACTCTTCGGCACAGCTAGGGCGGACTCCGGGTGGACAGCTCTGCATCGTTGTGTCGAGTTTAGGGTTTGGATTTGACCCACGAGCTTGTGGGGATCTGGCGGGCATTGCATCTTGCTTTTTGAGCAGACTTCTTCCAAGCCTTGCAGGTCCATGAAGGGAAAGATGGAGCAAGAGCAGAGGGAGGCCCTCATTGCCGAGGGCAAGCGCATCAAAGAGGATCGCTTTCGTTGGCCCTGAACCGGCTGCGATTCGTGGGCAGTGGCTTCCTGCCAACCGCTTCCCGTGGTGCTTTTAGGATCCCGAGAACCCTCAAACTTCACATCAACGAAGCAAGACTGATGGGTGAGCGCAGACGTCCGAACGTGACCACCCCAACCCCGCCAGATCCTGTGGTCGAAAGGACGAGTAAGAAACAGTCCTTCAACCCCACAATATAATTTTACCCTTCAACCTTGAAAGGGGCTTGTAGGATCCTTGCAAGAAGGCTTCTAAGTACCTGTCATGGGTCTTTTAGGCTTGGTAGCTTTAAGGGGCCCGGGGACGCAGGGGAGTACAGGTTTTGGAACGTTTGGGGCCTGAAAGTGCCCAAAACCTGTACTCCCCCGNNCGCGCCCCCCGGGCAATGCAGGGGACGACAGAACGTGTGCTGTCTTTGTATGGCGGGAAGGTTCGTTACTTCTTAGGGGTTGGGGGTGCCGGCCCAGGGACGCGGGGGAGTACAGGTTTTGGAACGCTGGGGGCCTGAAAGTGCCGAAAACATGTACTCCCCCGCGCGTCCCAGGGTACCTGTAAGGGTACTTACCTTCCAGATTTCGGGTTTAGGGGGAGGGGAACGGTTCGGTTCACGGTGCGGTTCCTAGCGGTTCACTGCAACGGTTCGGTTCGGTTCATGGCGGTTCGGTTTCTGCGGTTCGGTTCGGTTCCAGACCCTTGCTGCCTAGAGTTCCCGAATCGATTTTTAGTAATTGTAGTGTAGCCAAAGCCCAACATGCAAAAGCCTAAACCTTAAGCCACTCTAATAGCAAGCACAGTTGCTAGAGGAAAGGGGGCTAAACAACAAAAGCTGAAGCCACAGGAGATCAACTCCTTGGAGTCGAAGGTTGAGCAGCTGAGTGAGGACCTCCTGGGCGGGGTGGGGCGAAATCGTGGGAGGGGTGCTCTTTTTGGGGTTTGGGATGATTAGAACAGGGCTGCTATGCTGCCATTATTTTGGGGTGTAAACGGTAGTATCCCTGTTTAGCGGCTTTCAGGAGGACTTCTGGTACTAACATGCCGTGCAGGATGTGCATCACGGTGTCCAACTCCTCATCATTCAAAACATTTTGAGAAAAAAACGCCTTGCACGCATGGTAAAGGAAAAGCGTAGGCTAACAGTCATGCCTGGAATAGAATCCGCTGCCTCGTCATCCTCAGCCTGATCCGATCCGGCACCCCGGTCCCAGTAAGCCCCTGGCAGAGTTGAACTTGTTTGTGGATTTGGAGCCCTGATGCTTAACACCCACGAAGACACGAGGAGATGAACCAGCTTGCCCTGTCTGCTCCCTCCTGAGCTGCAGACGAGTAGGGGAGTTCAGATGGTGGAGCACATAGCCGCTCATCCCGAGCTGTAAACGGAGAGAGGGAGAAGTTCCTCTAGCCGCCTCTAGCCAGGCGGAAGGCAACCTGTTCCGGAGCCCTGCATCGGCGTGAAAATCTATGTATAATCTGGTATTGCTACGGCGTTGGTTTGTCACATGGCACACCCGCTCATGTTGCTAAGGCCAAGGTATCACATTGTTTCACGCAATGTTCTCATCTGCTTGTCCTTAAAAATGGGTATATACATATCACTACTGCAAGGTGCATAATTCTTTCTACATTATTTCTATTATCTCTGATAATTTTAACGCTGTGCCGCCCGACTCGGCTTGCCGGAGAGCAGCACTGTGACACAACCCTCAGTTACGCTGCTGGCCGAAAGAGGAGGGGAGGGGAGGAGCACTGTCAACAAAGGACCAGAAGGAGGGGGGATGGTGGCAATGGAGATGTGCGCGAGAGCAGTGGAACTCGTGAGCCAAAAGCGGGTGTCACCAAACTTTAGGGATGCAGGAAGGAGGATTAGGTAGAGGGTACTGAGTTAACCCCCAAGACGCCTGAGGCCTGTGGGTCACCATTAATAAGTCTCATTACTGCACTATCACTATTACCATTATTGCTCTTTCCTTGTTACTCTGACAACTATGACGATTATGACTTTACCAACTACTATTGTTATTATTGTTGATATTGTTGTCAGCCTTGTTTTGTTGCGAACATCCACCAGGTGCTTAGACGTTAGTTCACCGCTGGAATGTCTACGATTGTTTTCTATATCGCTAACGAACATACATCCCTGCAACACACACTTCAGTTGGCCCTGGTGGTCTTTCGTACGTAGGATGTACCACGTGGCATAAGCCTCTGCTTATCCAACGCAGGCTAAATGTGGGAACAGACGGACCACCACGTTGCCAACCCCAACCTGCCCGAAGCCCAAAGCCCTGAACCCTACGCCCCAAACCCTAAACCCTAAACCCGAAAGCCCTAAAAGCCCTAGAAGCCCTAAACGCTAAAAACCCTAAACCCCTAAGCCCTTCCTAAGCCCTACGCCCTAAACCTTGTCCGAGTCTGAGCCTGAGAGGTTCGGCAAAAAAAACCCAGTCAAACCGTCCTGCCCAGGTCCCGAACCTGACACATCCAGAGCTGCCCTCAGTCATTAACACCGGGAAACACCGTCAGGCTACTACATAGCAGTAAACATGTGCAGAGATGTTTGTAGTTTGTTTCTCGAATGCTTGACTGGGGTTTCATTGGATGGCATTCCATTTCTAGTGGGTTTAGGCTTTAGGCTTGAGGGACGTTAGATGTAATTCAGATAGAAGCAAGCGCCGGAGTTGGAAAGGGAAGGTTGAGGGTTCAGCGTTTGGGTCCGACCACGGTTTGGAATGGGTTATGAAGCAAGAGGCGTTGGAAACGGTTGGAAGGTCACTTGCTGCTTCTCCAGTGGCCAAGCAAAGATGACGTGTTTTCCATGGCTATTGTATGCTGTGCTTTGTCGAAGTTACATGTTGCAATGGCAATAGCCCACAAAAGGGCTGGAGTGCAGTCCGGGACGAATGTCTCATGTGGTACCCCGCTACAAATCTCAGGACACTCCCATCGGCGAGGAAGAGAATGCGACGGTGGGGAGGGCAAGAGACAAGGGACGCTGTCTCGGCTAGAATCGTGGCAGGACGCCCGAAGTCCTTTGGTTGCCCACAGAGTACTATCAGAGTAACCCTAAACCCCAAACCTTATTCTCAACCCCGTAGACCCTGAACCCTAGGCTTGCCGGCAGTCCTCGAACGAGGCTCTATCTACCAGGTGCTCCGACTCAAAAAAACCTAGGCTTGTCCTACCTGAATCAGACCTGAGCATGAAGCGCACGCTTTGGCAGGTCCTGCGCATCAACGGGGAGCCGCGGACCTCCGAGAATGCCGGCTTCAAGCTGCGGGACCACTTGGAGATAGGACCTGGGGTTGAGGCTTTTTTGGGGGTTTAGGCTTTAGATTTGTTGGGGTTCGGGGTTTAGGTGTCTGCACTGCTAAGATGCTGGGCTTTGGGGTGACTTGGGGTTTGGAGGGATGATAAGCGCGAGCCTTCCGCTGGGGTAGACTGCTGATGAACTAGAGAGATGCTACAAGCTAAACAAGTACATGTAATATTAGTAATATATCTACAGTTCGAGGCTATACTTTGTTTCTCTCTCTCTCTCTATCTAGCTCTCTCTCCCTCTCTCTCTCTCTCTCTGTCTCTCTCGCTCTCACACTGTCTCTCTCGTTCTCTAGCGGCACTAAGCAGGTGGCGGATGTCTGTGAGAACTGCAGCATTGATGGAGAGCATCTCCGCCTGGTTTTCCACAGCCGTTTCCCAGAATAAAATAAATTCTCCTATAAGTAAGAACCCACTGTCTGCCTGCCTGCCTGCCTGCCCGTCTGCCTGTCTCTCTGCATTTGTCACTTTCTCTCTTGCTCTTCCTCTCTCTCTCTCTCCCTCCCTCTCTTTCTTTTTTTTTGTTCTCTCTCTCTCTCTCACTCTCTCTCTCCCCCCTCCCCCTGTCCCTCCCCCTCTCCCTCCCCCTCTCGCCTCGCTCTCTATGCGTAATTACATGGGTGTAAATGTCAGGTTTCATCCACCTTCAGCAGCCCTTAGCCTTAGCAGTGCAGTGATGCCCTTTGTGAATGTGACGCAGACCGGGGTGTGCATCCGCACGGTCCCATGCATAATATTGCATGATGCATTCAAAAACCCATGCATGCCTGCACCCGTGAGACTAGAACTATTGATGCCTGTGCAGTAAAGCCAAACGATAAAGATATGTAAGACGCTTGTGAAGTGAATGTATAATATGTATACATTGAAGGTAGGCATACATGTACTTACATTCGTATATGCCATTTGTTGATCCGTACATACGCAAACACACCAACACGCGCAAACCATCACATGTATGTGCAGACATATACACATCTCCATGTACACTTACAGTTCATGCTTGTTTAGCGTGTTCATGCGCTGGTGCAGGTTGTTTGCAGGCCTTATTAACAAACCCGCATATCCGTGGATGGCTGAGAGGAAAGATTTTGGATCTATTCGATTTCGACTCCGGTGGCAAGGCGGCACGTGCTTTCAGAGATATGCGCATGTGGTCTCCTGATGTCGCGGTCCCCTCGTCAAGTTAGCGTACAAGGGGCCCTGGCCTTTTCGTTTACAATAAATTACTTCAAGAGCAAACTTCTCCAGAGCTATTGGAGAGACGTGGTTTGAGCGGGTCGAAGTGCAAAGCCGGTCTGTCTCGAAATCTTTTAAAATGACATGGCCCACTCTACCTATCTAAGGTCTTCTTGTAGAATCTTGCACATAATACATGCCCAGAACTACGCACAGAGAGACATTTCTCGACTTACACCTGCACCCCACACACGCAGACGCAACACTATAAACATACACGCACATATGCAACTTCATGTGCATACACGTGTATGTATTGATATGCACACGGAACATGCGTCAGACATACATGAGTTACATGCATACATAGATGCATTGTATGTATGCACACATACACCGGGTACGTACATACATACATACATGCATACACGCATACGGACATGCAGACTGAGAGAGGCGTGTGCAGCTATACAGAGAAATACAGGTACACATGATATGTGTATGTATATGTATGCAAGTTTACCGTGTGTACATGTACTTTTCTCTCTGTCGATTTATTTACTCTAGCTACTCTGTATAACTTATCTAGCATGTGCTACTTCTCTTTCCTTCTTGCATTCATTCTTTGTTTCTTTCTATTCTACCGGACGACCCGACCCGACCCCGCACGCCTAACCAGCCAACCAACCGACCCTTCGACCAACCTACCCAGCTAATTACCAACACCACCCAAACGCCCGCCGCGCCCGCCGCCCGCCCCCCCCTCCCCCCCCCTCCGCACCCAGACGGCCACACACACAGTCTATCTATCCACCAATCTATCTAAGCCATTTATGCATCTATCTGTCTATCGATCAATGTAAACATGCTGAGAGTTGGCCTTCTCTCCTCGGATGGCTTGTTCCTTGCAGTGGAGGTCAGCGGCCAGAAGTTTTTGCCGGGGCCTCGCATGTTAGCGGTTCAGGGCTTAGGGTTTGCGGTGGCCCCATGGCTCCTAATATCAGTGTCCGAGGCGTGGCATTTGCAGCCGACGTATTGTTGTTATCGTCAGACTGTTAGAGGTTTTTTGAAGCTTTGATGGGTGGCTTCGGAGTTTGGGATCAAAGGTGCAGGCCCAGTTGGAATTCTTGTCAATCTTCCCACGCCTTGCCGTGTTGTCTGAGAGAGAACCCAAAGGGCCCAAACCAGCTCCCCGAGCTGCACGCGCCTGAGCTCTAAGTCCTGAAGCTTGATGGGTTTGGTACTTCACTTTCAAGTTCATCTACACTGCAACTGTCAGTGCGTCAGTATTGAACAAAAGATGTTCAAGTTCAGAATAGTAGATGGCCCTGCTGAGGTACTTCAAGAATGGCGCGGCTCTCCTGGAGATTGCACTGGTTCAGTGGGCTC